TCCCTAGGTTAGAAATATACTATTCTGACGAATGGGACGTTATAACCCGAGCCGAAGGCGAGGGTTATAATCACATGAGTCAGAAATAGTATATTTCGTCATTAGGCCGAAAAAAACTTTTTCATCACGCTATGACAAAAAATGAACTTTTCGGCACGCTCCGCGTGCCTCAAAGTCCAATTTCCGCCACATTGTGATGAAAAATATTGTTCGTAACTCGTTAAAAAAAATGTTTTTTGGACTCGTTACGAAATATACTATTCTGGCGAATATGAGGTTTGCAGCACGAGCCGAAGGCGAGGGCGAGGGCGTGTTCAATATTCATCATTCAATTCATATCCATTCACAAAATTCAATTGAAATAAAATTTCACGCAAAATCTCCATTTGGAAGCCAATGAGGAATGAATATTCTGTTTTATATTTCATATTTGAAATTTTTATTGTGATTGAAACAGGTAAGATGCGTGTGTGTCCTAACAATTCCAGCTTTTTTCGGTCGAGCAGGTCGAAGCATGTTAAAAGCCCTGGTCCTAGGTTACGTAATAGCAGGTCCAATCTTCAACCTGACCTACAATGGAAAAGAAGTGGTCCGGACCTTCGCTTGTACCACTCAACTCACCTACAACCTCACCAAAACCCGCTTTGATCTGATGTTTAAACCCGTTCAGCAGGTTTAGTCTCAATAAGCAATTGCAAAATTCCCACGATGCGCGTAAATCGAGAGACCTTGCTTGTATGCATATATACAAAGAGCCTCACAATGCGCTGAGAATTACAATTAGCATGTATCGGTTAAGATAGCCTAGCCTAGAATAAATTGTTCACGAGTCAGCGGCAAGGTCTACCAGTTTACTACGAAAACAAGAAAATATCTATATTAGCGAATCGGCCAATTCTTTATATGAAAAATTACCATAAAATTGTTTTTTCCCAGAAAGTATAGTCTATAAGAAGGAACATGAGCCCAACCGGAATTTTCTAACTCAATTATTAGTGGAGATATTGAAGATGGAATTTTTCATCACGCTGTGACGAAAAGTGAACTTTTCGGCACGCCCCACGTGCCTAAAAGTCCAATTTCCGCCACATTGTGATGAAAAATATAGTTTTTTAGCTCGTGTGATTATATCACTCGCCTTCGGCTCGTGATATGAACCTCCCACTCGCCAAAAAACACTTTTTTGCACTCTTTACGAAATATACTATTTTTTTTCTAAAAACTTTTTTTTCACTTCGAATTACGAGCTACTAAGCCACATCTAATTTTCCCAGCTTTGCGAAAACAAATTATTTTTTGTGTACCTATGTATTTTGGCATGAAAAACTCAAAAAGAAAGTTTAAATGAAGAAAGTTTAAGTTTTAAATGTTTATTTGAGGTCGCTCCCCAACCTTTTTTGTATTTTTGTTTTTTGTCACTTTCAAATTCAGAAAATTTTCTAACAAAAACATATTTTTATTTTTGGTGCTCTCACAAACTCAGAGGTGAAATGCAGAGAAAAACAAGATTTTGTCGTCCCAAAAAATTAGTTTTTCCAAATTGTCTCGAAATCTGAAACGGATAGAGAATTTGTTGCAGAAATCTTTTTTGTAGAGGAAAATGAGATCTACAAAAACGTTTTTGTAACAATTTATACATCTACTGTATATTTAGAGATATTCATTGAATAATTATCTCCAGATTCAGTTGCCAATTAAGTGTTTTTACAACATCTCAGGTTTAAAAACAAATATCGATTTATTTGTATAGTTTCTTGTAGGAAAGAATCAGATCTATAAAAAGGTTGTAACAAAAATCCCTGTATCTTCTTTGTATTCCGAGATATTGTCGAAAAATTAATTTTCAGATTTAAGTGGATACATCTTGTTTTATGTTTTCACTTGTGAATTAAGTTCGGTGCTGGGTTATGATATTCAAAAGATTCAATTTCTATTAAGCAATGCTCAATAAATCATCAAATTTAAGGTCATTTTCCTGGATTTTACTAGAGACTTTTATGGATTACAAAAGACTTTCTTTTCCACCCAATTGAAAACCCGCGGGTGAATTGAGTGAACTTATTTTTTCATTGTTCACAATTCGTTGCTACTCCTTGTTACAATCCCTATTATATTTTGCACATCAATTTCATATCTCGAAAGGTTTCAGCAACACTGTAGACGTTATATCTCAGTCTCCAAATCAACAGCAATGACTGCAGGAATTTCTTCGTTCCAGCAATGGTTTGTGCAATGAAAGAGGAAGCTCATCGAATTCAGTGGGATAAGGAAAGAAAGTCTCTTGTAACCTGCATGGAACACCAACGATGTACCCATTTCGAAAAATAAATAAAATCCAGGAAAGTGGCCTTCATTTTTATGATTTATCAAATATTGATAAGTAGAAATTTAATCACCTAAAAGTAATAACCTAGTATACATGTTAATTCACAGGTAAAGACAGGAAACAAGATGTGTCACTCAAATCCAAAAATTAGTTTTTGGACAATATCTCGGAATGCAAAGAAGAGAGAGGGATTTTTGTAATAAGCTTGTTCGAAACGCAGCTAAAATCTCCATATTGTTCACGGTTGACTACCTCGGCCATCTCCGAAAATCTCCGTGACCCTTCGGGTCAACGGACATAGGACAGCGCGGCACCCGATAGAGAAAAACGTATAGTAGCATTCCGAAAATCAGCGAGTTCATAACGAGTAGTAGTTCAGTTGTGTTACGGTATCGTTTCAGTAATGATATAATCGAGTCAAGCTAACAGCATTCAACATTTAATACTTTCGTTCAGTACATCACCACAATAGGTAGTTCAGTTCAATTAACTTCAGTGAATCAACTAATTCCAATTTAAAGACTATTAACATATAATTGTGCCAAAGAGTGTATTTAAGACGTTAACGAAGTGGTTCGATCCCACTAATAAACGGGTATTTTATAATTCGTCTCAACATACTTTTTTCCAGCATTTCTCTCCACATTTTCTCCCACATCCACCCTAACTCCAGTTCCTCACCAAACAAACCTTTTTGGTAGTTTCTATTGTTCTCTACAAGAAAGGTTCTTACCAAGACAGCGATATTTTGCTTCAATCATGAGATATTGTAAAGAAAATGATTGGCAACTGAATCTGGAGATGATTTTTCAATAAATATCTTTGCTTCTACGGCAGATGGAAAAATTTCACAAACGCTTTTTTGTTGATTTCATTCCGCTCTATAAAAAAGATTTATACCAAAATTTCTCTACCTCCTTAGAATTCCAAGATATTTTCGGAAAACCAATTTTTTGTGAGGGCTAAATTTTGTTTTTCTCTCCATTTCGCCTCTGAATTCTTCAGAGTACCACAATGAAAAATAGGTGTTCGTCAAGAAATTTTCTGAACTTTGCAATAAAAAAAAATAATAAGGGATGGGGAACGACCCCAACTGATGGTTTGAAACGTTCTTTTTTAGTTTTCCATGCCAACATACATAGATACATGAAAAAACTATATTTTTTCGAAAAGCTGAGAAAATTTACAATAAAATCAAGAGGTTTAATTTTTTGTTGTTGTTCTTGGTGGCTCCTAACTAGAATTGAAAAAAAAGAGTTTAGAAGAAAAAAAATCAACCTTCAATATCTCCGCCAATTATTGAATTAGAGTACTGCGATTATACTCGTTTTTTTTCTTTTGGACTAAGGGAGAGTGGGGCAAAATGAAACTGCCGAAAAACAACTATTTGACGCAATTCAAACAAAAAAAAATTTATCAACTTTTTTTATTATTGGGAGTACGATAAGAATAATAATAATCTAGTCGGTAGATAAGAACATGCGGTGCAAAAAAATCACTGATATTCGAAACCCCTGTATAGCGTATTAACTACGTTCACAGATGAATCCCACTCCCCTGTAAGATCTCGATCTCAACGTCCACTAGTCAATTTGACCCCTGACTCGCTAGCAGCTAAGCTAAGACCTCGTCACCGCTGAGTCTATGTTCTCTCCTCATTCGAAACTCCCGAAGGTTTTTCATATATTTCTTATATCGTGACGACAATATAAATAATTTTCACTCATTTTATCCACAGTTCTCTTTTCAAGTAATATGAATATAATATGAATCCCACAATTGCCACTAGCCTTCAGCTCGGAAGGCAATCTTGCACGTGGGGGACAGTGATCTGTTTTTCAAAGCTCGGGCATGTAATGTACTATTTTTGCTCGAATTGTATCAAACAGTCGTTTTTTTAACTGTTTCATTTTGCCCCATATTCCATTTTGTCCCTCTCTCCCCTACAGAATTGGCAGATTCGCTCATATATTAAAACAATAATGATAATATAATCATCCTGTTCAAGGATGTTTAACTAAATACACGTGTACGGAAAATGTCGTCAGTGTTTACTTTATGAGGTTTCAAACACAGTTTATTAATTTACTTATTTTCTTTTTCCCAGGTAAGAATTACATAGGCTGACGATGAGAACAAGCCTGTATGAGCCCAGGGTTGGCGAGGCTCATTTATTCAGGCCTGGGATAGGCTTGGTTTCGTCGTTCACTTGAGCTTCAAATGAGAATGATTAAAGGGGCCATTGGCGAGGCTCAATCCAGGCCTAGTCCAGGCTTTCAGTATTCAGGCTGAGTACGTCAAGGCTTATTCAGGGCTCAGCAAGGTCTCGAAAATTAAAGTTACTTTCGATTAATTTCCTCAATTTTTATATCAATACTCATTAGCTAATGGTGGTGAAAACATTATCATCATCTACAAACATAGCTATAATTTTCCGCCAAGTTATCTAAGCTACTCCCAGACCAGGCCTAGAGCAGCCCTTTGTGCACGAGGCTACATAATTATTATTATCCTTATCTATAATTAATTAATCAATCGATTCTGAACTCATAAATCCATCGGACCTATCATTTATTCAAGTTCAGGAAATTTAATTAGGATATCAACAAAAGAACAAAATAACACTAACATAAGTTGAATTTTTATACCCGAAAAAAATGTATCATCCTAAGAAGTCGCAGGTAGCCCAGTGGATAGCGCGCTTCTCTATGGATCAGGACCCCGGATCGAACCCCAGCAGAGGAGCAAATTTTTAAATGTTTGATTTCATTGTATTTCAATTTCCAGGTGCGCGGTAATAATCCAGGACGAATAATTAATAGAAACTAATGAGGATAATAATTTTTTTCCCATCCATTGTTAATTAACCGACAATCACAATCACCAACAACGCTTAGCAACAGTGATGTACGGTCCGACCGCACTCTCTTTCATAGGTTACTCTAAATTCATAAAAAGGGTTATGAAGCAATAAGAAATTGTTTATACAAATATCTGTAAACAATACTCCAGTTTATTTAGCTGAAGCTCGACTGAGCCTTTAAAATGTGGTAATTCAAAGCTTGAATCAAGCTTTGGCACCGAGCCTCGTTCAAGCCTTGCGGACTAAGCCTGAAACGAGGTTATCATTTTAGGGCTGAAGGAGGATTGATCCAAGGCTGAGCCCCAGCCCTGATTAAGCATTTCCGAGCCTTGGTCCAGGGCTTGATGAGCCCTGTTTCTATCGTCAATTCTTACCTGGATTGATAAGAAAATTCAAGTCGTAAATTTTACAATTAATAAACACCAAATAACTAAAATGACCGCCAGTGAATTGGTTGCATAGATATAGTAAAACTTCGGTGCACACACGAATTGAGCTACGTTGAGCGTGATAAGCGATAAATCATCCAAATAGTAGCCAGCTGACTATTACTTGTATGACTTGTGACCTTTCAATATTTAATTATTATCATTTCCTAAAAGGGGGATTTAGGGCAATTAAATAATGAGGACAAATGAGGAATAAAATTAACTGAATATCTATATTTCTATTAATGTACATGATAGATCGTCGTAAGACGCTTGAAATGCCTTTTACTTGGATCTAGGGTTATGGGTAAGGCCAGGCAACTTTTGTACACGTAAAAAGGGGATGACTCTAATGCAGATAAAAGGGAAGAAGCTAATCGTGTCAAGAGAATGCAATTAAATATCCAAATAATAACTGAATGGGGAAGAAACAAAAGAGTGTAGGCTCACCGTTGGGGGGTATGAAGGGTAATATTGTAGGGACAAGAGGGAAAATGAGGGGGGTAACTCGTACTCACGATGGGACTTCACTCTGGCGAACACGTGGAATCCCACCGGCGCCTTGCACTCCTTCAAAATACCAGGGCGTTTTCCTGGAGAGCCTCCTTTCCACCTCGGGGTTTCCTGGGCACCAATACTAGAGCTGGGATGAGCTCGATGTATCAAAAGTCCTCTTTTTATCCGCCAAATAACTTCCGGGCGAATTTCACTGTATTCACAATTACTACTTTCGGGGCACGTGGCGACTCACGGGGCAGCTAATGCACGAGTGACGGTCTCTTCTTTTCCTTCGCGATTCGTGGGGGTTCGTCAGGTGTCGATGTCCTTCGGGTTTTAATTCGGGAGCAATCGGGGCCAATCAGCACGGGTGAGTGGTGACGATGACCACAATCCAGGGATGTCTCGCTGGGGATTATTGCAGGTGTTGAATATTCGGGGGTCCAGTATGGGGAATTTCCAGGAGGCGTTGGCTTCTCCAATTGATCGGGTGGCGCCGGAACTGATGTCTTCCTTCGGCTGATGTCTTCGTGATGTCCAGGGGCAGGGATAGAGGGGCGATGAGGGGAAAAGTGAGGGAAGGGGTATCCAACGGTGGCGGGATTTACATTTTAGGGGGCAGTGTGTAGTGGGAAAAAATATGTAGAAAAATAATAAAAAATAAATGAATATGCCTCGTCACAGACTTTTGCCTAAAGTAGCTCACGGAAAGGGAGTAAAATGAAAAAACTCAAAAAAGCATACATAAGAAAGAGGAATCAAAAGGAATGATGTACGAGAGAAAAAATGGACATTAAAAATTAAATATCGTATACTGTACATAATTTCTTTTGTTACACCCGACCGAAAAGTACTAATTTTACATACAATTTTGATCCCTCCACTAGTACTTATTAACTGAAACTGTGTCCCTCACCCCTGTGTTGAGCCTGTCAATATTCATCTTCTATATTATAATGCTCCTATTATAATCTACTATAAAGCTCTATATTATAATGTCTTATAGAATCAATAAGACTTTCATTATATCTAATTCGGTCGATAGGCAATCTTAGGTATGAAAGATAATGTTAACGAAGTAAAGGACACACTAGCTTCTGTGAGGGATCTGATGGGACCTATTGTGGAGGAGATAGAGGGCGAAGAAGAGATGAAGAGACTCAAGGAGGAAAATGATTATCTCGATGAGCTGCAAGGTGACACCCAAAGAAGTGAAGCAATTGAGCAAAAACATGAAAAGGAAATCGAAAATGCTGAGTCTCAAGGAGAAGTATATGAGGCCAAATATCGAAAAAAAATAGAAGCTAGATGTGAAGAACAGCTGAGCAGAGGTTCTGAACGTTGCAGGTATTGTTCTCAGATTTTTTTCATAAGTGAAAATGAAATTAACGGTTATAACCAAAATTTAAAATCCAATGGCTTTTCTTAAACAACCAACCGAACAGAGCCAGACGGCGGGATCAATTGAGGTGTGAAGCAAAGTTATATCGTAAATAATATGGAACATCGATGATGTCGAGAAATTTTGAAATTTCATATACAGTGTGAGTGTTTTGAATAATCATCCCGTTTGGTTTCACATCGCCATCTCAGGGTCCCGCCTCGCACTCAAATTTGGAAGCTTTTCGTCATTTTCTATATTTATTTTTTATATTTTATATTGATTTTTAAGATAAATAAGTATATGAAGTTCGGTCTATCTCATATTATATTTGAAAAATACAGAGGTATTTTTATTTCCTTTTTTTTAAAGTTGAGTATAAATTTTTTTTTTCTCTAGAGAAGGATTCGGTGATGCTTACAACAAGTGCTATGATACAGTAACGTGGCTGGCTGCTTGGTTATTATGCTGGCCGATGAAGCTGACTTTTGTCTGCAACATAGTTCAAGCTCTTGGAGGCTCCAGCATCTGTAATCCTGAAGGAAAAATTGATGCTGGAATTGGTGAAGGTTACGCAAGTCTGAAAAGTAAAAAAAAAATCCATTAGATATGAAAAATCAGCAATTGCAAGTAGCCCAGTAATTACAAAAATCGGCCACGGACAAAGCTTTCCAATTATTAATTTAATGTAATGGTGATGTTTTGGATTCTCTAATTTCGGATGAATTCTTAAGGTGACAAAAAATATCACGAGACATAAAAAAATATATTTTCAGAAACTGTCTGTATAGATTTATGTGTGTTTGCGTTTGGATATATGTTGCGAACTGTATCACTAACTCCAGAATAGTTATCGAGAAGAAATTATAATTCTGGCTTTCAATTGGTACTATTGAAATATAAATTTCTGCTCATTTTGATGACATTTGAATTGATGATAGTACTACGACATGGACAAATAGAAGAACAGAATAATTAATGAAATAAGAATTAATAAAAGAGAAGCCATTCGGAAGCAAACTGCTGATCAAAATTGCAACAATTACTATACTCATTTGTAAAAAAATGCGATTGTCTACTTTTTCCACTTTTCCTAATAACTTTAATTATGTAGATTCTCCGGGACCTTACTACTATCGTAACGAATAGGAAGGAAAAGAAAAACAAGCAGAGGACCGAACTTATCCAATAGAAGACACTTGACCGTTACTTTATGCCTTATTACCCTTTTCTTTTTTTCTTTTTACCCATTTCATTCGTTGTAAGATTCCGAATGGATTCGTAGCAATTTCATTCTAAAAATCAAAAAGGCAATTTCACGTCAAAATGTGCTAGCAATTCGTCAAAAATTTACACCTCTTAACCTCTCACGTACGGCCTCGAACCATGCATCGACCCATAAGCTTGTCCTACCGGCCGGAGTCAATGTATGGTATCGACCGTTTCCGTCAACAGTAAAAATTCATTTTCTCGAATTCTAAGAGACAGTGACATTTGGAAAAGATATTTGGAAAGTCAATGTAATTGTCTCGGCGCTGAACTTTTTCTTTTCAATGCATTTATGATATTTTTTTTCTATGAATAAAAGTTGTAGATGAAAATTTTACATCGAACTGTTACAATCATACTAAATCATCTCGTTTATCGACAAAATTTCCTCGAAAAATTTTGAAATTCTTACTAAAAATACTTTAATGATTCTTCTATCGAATGGCAGAAGTTAAATTTCGATTTGTTGAATAATATGTTTGTTACACATAAATTTAGCAGGTTCGAAGATCGCGGCAACCAATTATCGGCAAACATTGAAATTGGTGTCAAAAATTAGGAAATTATGAAAAAGAAAAACATTTCTTAGGGAGTTTATTTCACATTTCAACGCAGCCAATGCATTTTATTTCAATTTTTTCGTTCAACTATTTTCAAGTTATCGCTCATTGAATTAACGGAGTTGACGCGCCGTAAGTCTCCCGGCCGTTGGGACAAGCCGCCTTATATGGAGGCCGTCTGTGAGGGATTGAAATAGGCCAAACACTCTGTCCCTATCACAGCTTTGGCGTGGTATGCCAAAGATCGATATAATATTCCAGCTTTTACGTGTCTTATGGACAGTCAAATTCACTCTTTAGATGAAAAATTATAACGACGCATATATCTTGAAAGCTTTGTAAGAACGGTCATTCATATGATTGATCTTGATAGGAGACAACAAGGCGAGTATTTTGAAAAAAATGAAAATAAAAGCAGACCAGTCAAGTAATTTGGAAGATATTGAGCAATCAGTTTTTTTCACAAAAAGTTGAATACCTCCTCAAATACTTATCCGGTTTCGTCCATCCAAAATGCCATCCTGTAATATCAAGGGAGCAATATTTTAACTGCCTATGTCAATTTTTTTTCTAGAATTATCGTGTATACATCGATTTTATCGAAAAAATGAAAAATGTCAATTATTACCAAGTTGTCCCTGGTTAAGACCCGGTTGGATTATCTTTCGAACGTGATCTTGGTTGTTTTTTTTTATTTTGATAATCTGCAGAGATCTCCAATTGCTATTCAGTTTTACATAGCCCTGGAGTCTCCAAAAATTATGATTGTGCCATCAAAAAAACGTAGAAAAAAAGCTGAACATTTTCAAAGAGAGTTTTTGAATATTATTCGGACATAAACCCAATCGGGAGGAAATTGCAAATTAATAACTTGATGTATCTAACGGCTGTAGGTCGTCATTTGTCACAGTAGTCAATAGCTATCAGATCGTTAGTTACCATGATAAATTATCCATTCACTTGTGACGTATTGGGAAAGACCAATACGTCGATTTAGTTAATAATTATGTGAAATGTTCACATAAATGGTGGATGAGAGGAATGAGAAATATGATTTCTCTTTCCTGCCATCCAGACAATGGTCAGCCATTCCAGGGTGTCAGTTGGACACTTTGGTAAGCAGTCCCACGGTTTTCAACAAGTCCAGTTCGGGGGTACCGAACTGTTTGACTGTTGTAGTTTGTGTCAATGACGACACAAGACTGTGTTAGTGAGAAAAACCGTGAGATTGCTTAGATCAGCAAACTGAGACTTTGATGAGTTTCGAGGACTCTGGAAGCACCAGGGTACGGCAGAGCACGATCGAGAGCGAAACAGAAAGGATCTGTCAAAGCTCAGGCCTTCAGCCAGATAAGACTACCACAAGTCAGAGTCTCAGTCGAGTAAAACACCATTAACTACGCGTTAAACCGACCCATCAATATAGATATCGTGTAATTCACCATCAAGTTAGACAATATATCATACTTTTATCTAACTGTACGCGAGTGTTTACTAAGAGGTTTAACCCCTCCACGATCCTCCATCCTTAACATCCCTCCGAGTGAGCGGACCCCCCGTGAGCTCACCGCCGAAGTAGCCGAGGCAGGAGTGAACCAGGAAAGGATTAACAATCGAGAGATTAGCAGAAGAATTATCCTTTAATTTGAGTTTTACCAAACGGGTAAAACTCATAACGTCAAACGCTCTTTGAATATGGTCACTTTTTTCTGCTTTTTTGATTGTACAATCATAATTCTTAGGGACTCCTGTGTGATGTAAAATCCAATGCACGGAGAGAAATGCTCAGTAAAAATTACGGAACTCACAGTTCGCACATCGATTACGGATTCGACTGCGAAAATTTAAGTGACGGTATCGTAATTTTTCACAGGAGATTCAGGTGAAAATTACGGAACGCTCTGGAAAAATTCCGCAACGATTACGGAAAATTTCCTACAACCACATTTCGCTCCAGAATTACGTAAAAGATACGTAATTTCAATTGAATATTTCTCTCCGTGTGGAAATTTTGATATATTTTACATTATGAAGATGGAAAAACAATCGAGATAACGTTCGAAAAATAATCCACACGTTTGAAAAAATCGTATAGAAATTTTCTATACGGATTGCGTATAGAAATTCTATAGGATTTCCGTATATGATATTCGGATATTTTTATACGAATATTTTCTATACGAATTATTTCTATACATAAATGTTTGGTTTCATACGAAAGATGTCAAAATGCTCCAGAGAAAAACGTAGAGAAGTGTCACGACTCCATACGAAATATTTCTATATACATGTGGCAGTGGGTCGTATACGATCAAACCTATAGCAATCGTATAGAAATAATTTGTATAAAAAATATCCGTATAGAAATATCCGAATATTATATGCGAAAATCCTATAGAAATTCTATAGGCAATTCGTATAGAAAATTTCTATACGATTTTTTCACACGTGCACAGGGTCCTTAAGCAAAAAAATTATAACGTGTGACGTATTGTCATTAATACGTCGGTTATTTGTTGAATACAATGTGACGTATTATGAATAATACGTTACATTAAATGTATAATGTTGGACAATGAGAAAAGAAATATGATTTCTTTCTCATCGTGCAGGAGCAGAGCTCAGCACTCTCACGGTGCCAGCTGAGTCCAGCTTCTGGGTAATGAAGCTGTTTGACTGTTTTAGTTGTGTGTCAATGATGACACTTAATTGTCTTAGTGTTTCGGGACCGTGAGACTGCTTGCTCTGCAATTTTAGGTCTTGGGCATTTTACAAAGACTCTGCAAGGGCAGAGTACGATCGGGAGTGAAGTGGAGCGGATCTCCAAGCTTATAAGTCTCAGTCCGATCTCTTAATAACGCGTTTACCGAACGCGGGTCACAAGGTACAGCAGGGAACAGTGGATTACGAGGGTCAGGAGGGTCAAACTCCCTTACTTGATTATTTGATTAAGTATATTTCATGTTACAAGGAGGGGTAACGGAGGTGATCTTTGTGCTCCTGCGGTCCCCAGGGACCTTTGGGGTCATAGGGGCCATGCGGATCACAAGGTACAGCAGGGAACAGTGGATTACGAGAGTCAGGAGGGTCAAACTCCCTTACTTGATTATTTGATTAAGTTCATCAATAACACTGTCGTATACCGTAGTTAGTAGTTGAGTTAAATATACCATGCTTTTACCAGTTAATCGTGTATTTATCTTCGGTACAATACCTTCCAATTCCCTTATCATTCCCAACTTGAGTGAATCCCACGCGACAGTTAGCCGCTCAACATAGGGTACGACGGCCCTAGGAAAGGAAAGCTTATTTCTATTTGTGACTAGTCCCAGGGACTAGTCACATGTTAGATCACCCAGGATTAATGCGGTGGGTGATCTAACTCATAACGTCACAAACGTAATTTGAAAGATATTACGATGAATATTTGAACGTCAAAACAAATCAATTCAGTCACGTAGTTTTTGAGATATGGAGAAGAAAAGATTTTCGAGGAATTGCTATATCTCAGAAACGGCTTGACCGATTGAGCTGAAATTTCGCCCAGACGTGCTTTCGCCCAAAGATTCAGATTTTTAGCTCTAACTTTATTTCTTTTTTTTATGGAAATCTATTAAAAAATTCGAAAAAAATTGCACATACATACACACAGTTTCTAAAAACATCATATCTTCACGTTTCACAACATTCTACATAATTTTCAAGTGAAATTAGAAAATCGGCAAAATGGACAATTACAAAGCTTCCTTTCGGAAGCAAAATGACCATTAGGCATTCGACAAACGGTCAATACAGACCGCATGCTAGTAATCACCTAATACCTGTTTTTCTTTCTTTTTCCTAAAAAAGAAGTAGATCAATTCCATCTCAATGACTTCAACCCCTTTCAGACGCGAGAGACTCCCTCAGTTCTGGTTTTAAAGATGCTCGTCTGCAATACAAGCTTAAAAACGCGCCCCTAATCCTCGATGTTCGCGATGCCGGGGATACCGCCAAAGCAGTTTTTCATGACTTCAACATCCGCCGGCATTTCTTTGATTCCCTAATGACCTTCCTTAAACGCTGCCTAGCCTTTGTCTTCCTCAAAATCATCCTCAGCGCGCAAGACTACCATGACCGTTATCTCACCGATATTGAGCATGACAACCACTACGTAACCACCTATTTCCGTAAAATTGACGCGCGGCGTAAGCACCGCGGTAGCGCTATCATCTTACCCTTGAGGAAGGTCGAATTTCAAAAGTTTGTAGACCCTTATCGCCTAAAACAAGGGAAGATAGAGAAAAAAAACTTTATTGGTCAAACAGTCAAGCTAATCCTGGAAATGGTGACGGCAACAACTTTTGTCCTTCTTGATCGTCTCTTTTTCGAGACCCTAGACCTCATTCGAAAACATGGACATATGGAGTACACTCAAGCAGGTCACCACGACCTCAACATCGATGTAAAGGGCACTGGAGTCATTGCATCACTGATAAGAAGCGTCGTAAAAGGGTTTAACGTGAAAAAAAGAATAAAAATGGTGGTATCGAATGCCACTTGTCTTCCCCGTCCCACCGAGCTATCGAGTTATATCCTCATGAAGATATATGGAACTTACACCGCCATTTGGCTCATGCTCTTCGTCGCTGCTTACACACAACGTTTAAGAAGATTGATATGTTCATTCTTCTATAGAAAACGTGAAAAGAGACGTGTTTTGTATCTCTATAATGAGACACTGAGAAGAAGATTGGGTTACTTCCGGTTTATGAAGATCAGAGTGAGAACATTGGTGAGGGCGAGTCTACTGGAGAAAGACATGGATCCGTGGGTAGCACTGAGGCTAAGATCGCCGACATTATGTGGATGGCTAAAGTTTTTTGCTTTTGCAAGATTGAAGTGTTTGATCTGCGGTGAACCGGAGGGTAGAAAGGCAACGTTTCGGAGATGTGAGACACCAGGGTGCGAATTTATCCATTGTTGGGAATGCTGGAGGGATGTGGGAGAGGTTTGTTTGGCTTGTCTGCCAGGAGAGACTGACGATGAGGAGGATTATGATACACAGGTGGAATGAATAGGTGAGGATTTCTATTTGTTGTAGACTGTTTTTGGAAAGCAACAGTAATTGAGTTTTCAGAAGAGGTCAGAGGAGGACCAGACCAACGATAGTTCTGTCAATCTTCAATAAATTCCGAACGAACTGTAAATAGTTATTGAATGACATTCGATTATGAAGAACAAACACAGGCTTACAAAGAAAATGGTGGAGTTATTGGTGTTTAAGACCATTTCTTTGGGCCATTAGCTATTGCGTGTGAGTAATTGTGCCATTATTTCATTTATGAATGATTTTCAACAGCAATTGTATAGAAATTTTATTTTATTATTATTTTACATCGCTTCGACTTGGTTAAGTATATTGCGATAATGCTCAAGACTTGAAAAATGGTTAGATCGCACCATTCTACCCTACCGGGATTTGAACTCGGAACCTTATGCATGTGAGGCAACACCCTTACCCACTGCGCCTGGTCGTCGGGCTTGTATAGAAATTAATTCATTTTTTACCACTATTGAATAAATTCCCTCCAATAATCCAATGACGTTCTCCAGATGGGAAGCTCGAAACGAGCTTAATAGCTTGAAAAAATATATCACTAAAATAGCGCTTGGATATAGCCATCAATTTGGAATAGAATGAAAATATCACTAACAAAGATGGAAAAGATAATCAGGAATCAGCTGATGATACGAGAGTTGAAAATGACATATGGTCAAAATAGTCGAATCTCGATATAAAATACCTCAAATACTGTCATAATGTCATTTTCAGAACATTGGATTCAATTTCGAGTAAACAGCATGAAAGCTACAGTGTATTAGTAGCAATAAATCACTTGAATTTCGTGCTCACATGAAATTGAAATTTTTCTTCGCAGTTGTTACCGTATCGTGCAGTTAATGAGCATTCTTTGAAGATATAAGGTATACCCCGGAGGGTTCGAGTGATCCAGAAGTTGGAAATCACTTGTAAGCTAACGACGATGAGGCGCCTCATATTTTTTGTATTAATCGCCGTCGCTCTCGCCGAGGAAAGGCCAATGTATACTACGAAATACGATAAATTCGATATCGACTCGATCATCAAGAACGATAGACTTTTCAAGAATTATATTGACTGCCTGATGGATGAAAAACCGTGCACACCCGAAGGGAATGAGTTCAAAAGTAAGTTTAACGATTATGAGAGTGGAGGTTTGACTGGCGTCATGCTACAGGAATTTCATCACTATCCTTTCTTCAAATCCCAGGAACTCATTTTCGGCTTTTCATTTATAAATTGCTCGTCATTCATTTTTCGAAGCTTCGCATAACCGTTGGAATTTTTAAAGACGATTTCGGGAGGTGACTGAAAGGAGATGGATTAATTGTCGTATTCATCAATGTCTTTTGTTGTTTGATTGATTGTTAGATATTTTTATATGAGGTTCGGAATGGCTGCTGGGGTTTTTTTGGTAGGCGTAACCCTTAAGAGCCCTGAAAATATCAATTTCTACGTTCAAAATTCGGAGCACTTTTGCGAAAGCATATGCTTAAAAAGACTGATACCTCCATTTTTTTATAAGGAACTATAAGAGGAATATTCTGATTTTTGAAGTCGAAGAATATTCAGCTAAAAATTTTATGAATATACTCCTGGTGAATCGTTGAATATAAGGAGGAAAAATAAATTTACAACACCACCAAAAATTTGGTTTAACATTGATCATTTTCTTGTATGAATTCTAACTTTGATAGTTGTAAAAAATTAATCCATCAAATCACATAAAATTTTGAGTCACTCAGAAACATAAATTATTAATCATCAAAACTTTCCGACTGTCGATCATATCCATATATTGAACGTAAAATTTTCTTAATTTTTCAAAATTTTTCATACATTTTAATCTTTTTCTTAAACCTGCAAAGGTCATTTTTTCTTCAACTCTGTATTATTTCGCATTTTTAAATTAATTATTAGGAATAATACTAAACTGTTGATCGAGCACAAATTGCACACACATGTTTCTATTCATATTAACTTTAATTTAAAATTTATTTCATATTGTCATATGAGAACTTGCGACTTGGTCAACTTTAGTTTCCGAACATATTTTCGAGAAACCGATTTTTGAAAGAATGAAATTTAACACATCGCGTCCATAAGAGCAGTATACTGCCACCTTCAATCCAATAGTTCATAGTCTTAAAGCGTTTTCTCGTACACATAACCGTACATGACATTGTTCGTTATACTCTCCAGTTTTTTGTTGCGACATTAAAAAACCTTTTCCGGACAGATAATTGCAAACAATCAAATTAAAAGCTTCTTGATTGGTACGACGGCCATATTGGGTGGTTTGAAACTGTGCGTTTTTGACGCCTGGCAACAGTCCGCTCAAGTGACTACTCGGACCGAATTTACGAGGTTATATGGAACACATGTGCAGTGTTGCCCTATGATCATTAGAGGTTAGACCAACGAGAGTCAAGTGTGAAATTGAATAAAATATTGTTCACAATATTCATTGAAGAAATTCTTGAAAAAATATATTCGACAATGAAAAATCCGAAAAAGTATGGGGATGGCAAGATTTTCGACAAAACTGAAATCTTGCTTGAAAAAAAGTTGCCAATTTGAACGAAGTACTTGGATATCCTTAAGTCCTCACGTATGGCGTTGATACCATGCGTCGACCCATAAGTTTGTCCTATCCGGCCGGGGTCAATGGATGGTATCGATCCTTTCCGTCACCAGTAAAAAATCATTTTCTCGAATTCGAAGAGACATATTCACATTTGGAAAAGATATTTGGAAAGTCAATGGAATTGTCTCTGCAGTGAACTATGTTATTTTTTTTTCAATGTATTTATAATATTTTTTTCTATGAACAAAAGTTGTAGATGATAGTTTTACATCGAACCGATTCAATCATATTAAATCATCTCGTTTATCGACAAAATTTCCCCCAAAAATTTTGAAATTTTTACTGAAAATATTTTAATGATCCTTCTATTGAATGGCAGAAGTTAAATTTCGATTTGTTCAATAATTTGTTTGTTATAAATAAATTTAGCATGTTCGAAGATCTCAACAACCAATTGTCGGCAAACATTGAAATTGGTGTAAAAAATGAGGAAATTATGGGAAAAAAAGAGTTCTTAGGGAGTTTATTTCAAAGTTCATTTCAGTTATCGATTATTGAATACCGGAGTTGACGCGCCGTAAGTCTCCCCGCCGTTGGAACAAGCCGTGTTAGATGGACGTCGTACGTGAGGGGTGAATTTCATAATTACTTAATAAGTAAACTAAATCCATATGGTCTGCCCGTAGGAAATTTACCGGACGCATTAGAAACAGGTTGTGCTAGTTGCAGTAAAGCACAGAAGACAATGGCAGAGAAATTCTACCATCATGTAATCGACAACAGAATTGACGACTGGATGAGACTAGAAAACAAATACGATCCTCGCGGTAACTACCGGAAAAACTACCTCGGGCTGGACATTGAGACCACCACTGTTGCTCTTTGAAGTAATCAATCTTCCACATGTATATGATGAACCCCACCTCACAGCAATAAATAGATTTTTCTCTCTTTTCTTCAAGTGTTTTTTCAAATGCTTCCAATGAAGTCAATTTTCCTTCTAAACTAGCGTGTTTCATTGACTTTTGTTGATACAAAGTAACAAATCATGTGAAATTGTTATGCAAGTAATGATATTTTTCTTACATAAGTGGAATCTATTTCTATTCCTATTATTAAATTGTCAAATATAAAATGACTATGTACTTAATGATCACTCTGAGGTTTTTCTTTATTTTTTTGTATGCTTGATTTTTTTCTTTTTCCATTTTTGTATTTCGTTCATGAGTAGATGATTGATGGTTTTTCATAGATAACCAATGAATCATCCAATACTCTATTCTTCTTCATTTACTTACTTCTTTTTCATCATTTATTAGTGATTAGCAATCACACTTCAGGTCATGACCATTTAAATGTATTGAGATAGTACGACAATTAGTAGGCGAGTCTCTTAATTTTTTCAAAAAAATATATAAATCTGAGAGAGATGGAGTACCATACGCCCGAAAGAGACAGAAAATCATTCCTATGTTGTGAGGGTCAATTATGTAACGTGATAAGTTTTCTGTGGCGATATAAAAGGTGTATATATATCTTCAATGTGGTGAGGAATTGGAGCGTGGACCTAAATAAGAATAATGAAAGAGGTTTATCTGTTCCCCGAAAATCGAATTTTTTCATCTTCCAGAAAAATCCTGTAATTTTTTGGGCTGATGAAGGGGCTTAAGAATCCTTACTTTTCTGCTGATTGAAAACATTAAATTTCACCTGATTTGATAAACTGGAATGAACAAATTTCTTCTTAGAAAATAAAGATAGAAAATAAAAATAAAGGAAACTAAGAAAAAATTTATACTGCCTCCAACGACCAAAGAGAAACCTTGGGTACTCAGACAAATAATGAGGATATTCAAAACATTGAAGTCCATATAATCCCATCCTAGCGCCTAAATTTACTGGATTTGATTGATTTCTGAGTGATTAACTTGGGTCCAAGGGTTAAAATTTCTATCAACGTGAAGAAGATAACTCTATCTATCAGTTGAAACAAATTAGAGATTTTAGAGCGCAAGCGGTGTTGGATGAACATCCTTAAACCAGATGAATATACTTTGATTGGAATATCCTTTGGGGCGATATGTTTCTGGGATCGGTTGGGACCGGCATCCATAAAAACTGAGGGTATAACAAATGTCTCAGTTAGCGACTTCTGCTCAACCGCGTTGCCTATCATTGAGTCAGCTCGTCTTCTTCTTCTTCTATTTTTATGACACTGACTAAAATGCCTTGAGGCTATTATCCATCTGGCGAATGCACCAAATGACGAACAAACTTTTATAATGTGAGGAAGGTACGGAAGAGAGAATGATGTTCCCTTGAATATTGGAGTGGGAAATTTTGGATAGGAGGATTATTATATTTGTTTATTAATATTTTTTAGGAAATTCAGAGAGAGGTTATTAATTTATAGATGTTACAGATATTAACCCTCCTCACGGATGGGGCCTTTCTGTTACCAAGCGTAGTGTGTGTTCAATCCAACTCGAATTCGATTATTTGTAATGAATGGAAAATTATGAAACCGGGATCTAATCGAATCCACAGTATTCCGGTATCCAATTTTGTTTGTCTGATCAAGTTATTCTTCATAGATTTGGAAATAATCAATTTTGAAAGCAAGCGTTCACATTCGCATGGGTCGATACTATGCATTGACCCCGTACGTGAGGGGTTAATATTCATCTTGCTGTCCTCTACCTAGATAAATCAAAATATATATACCCGTTCATACAAAATTTTTGAAATATTCCTGTTTTTCTGTCTTTCTATCAAAACTTGTATATAAGGTCTAACTTGCGCCAAAATCGAGATATCAATTTGAAATTTTGACAGAAACTTCTTTTCACGATAACAAAGGTTCTCAATTGGAGATGGGCTCAATTGCATCTGTATTTTTTTAAAAATGACATAACTTTCAGAAGATGGTCGAAGAAGTTTTCTGCGCCAATGATCAATGTTCCAGTGGTACTTTTCCGTTTTCTCTTGACCCAATAAAGGTTCAGCATCCCGGAGAATTCAAGGTTCAATCTCCAACGTAACCATCCGTACTGATCAAGTCAGATACTTTTATAAATTTTTTTGGCTACTACCTAACCTTCGGAAAAGATCAGAAAAATGGAGCCTTCAGAAGATCGCCAAAAAAACGTTCTGCGGCAATTATAATTGTTCTAGTGGTGTTTTTCCGGTTCCTTTTGGCCCAATCACATCAGTAGTTTCGCAGATATTCAACTATGTTTGTAAAAATAAAATGTCAAATAAAAGAGTGCGTTTAATTAATAAATTGTTTATTGCCGAAATTTGGGGCGATAATAGTACATTAGAGTACAAGGGCACAAATTTCGTTTTCTTCTACTAAGAGTATGAAAAAGATATCACCAATAACATTTTCTTGGGAGGAATAAATTTTTTTCTCAGTGTAACAAGAGGTTTTATGTCTGATAACAGTTTATAGAGGAGATTGAAATGGCATATTCAACATAGGAGGGTCGGGGTGACAGTGGATGGGCGAGCTCGCCCGCTTGCGTCGAACTTCGCTCTTTCGATCGCATGAGGACGAGTTTCCGCCAGGCCCTATTGTTTTGTTCAGTCACGTGGAGATAGGGCATAGGTTATGGAATAAGTGAAGGGTATTTAATAATTATCAATAATAGAAACGGATGATGAATGTAACGAACATGTGGGGATGTTTGTTAGGAACACTAAAAACGATCTGTAAACAGCGAGACTCCTACAACGTTGAATTAAAATCCGTGAGTAAGAATCCAAGAGCGAGAGAGTGAGAGCCCCTTATCCACTTCCGAGTGGCTTATTTTCGGTTAAAGTTATCGGTTCCGTTTATTAGTAAGGATTAGTAATTACGCGTCTTTGAGGGCCCAGAAAAATTATCGTGAAGAAGGGCCAACATTATAGAGTCATCCGGTTCTTTTTATGGGGTTCACCCTATCGTTAATCTTGCGGGTAATCGAATAGGTCCGGCTGAAATGCCGGCGCTCCAATTTCGTTGGATTTTCAGGGGTGAATTGGTTACGTTTTTGTTTTGGGTGGAAGGTCGTTCGGAGCGAGTGCAACCATCGTCTCCAACGAATTGCCAGGTTGCCTTTGGGTTTTTGATGAGAGAAACGAGTTGAGCAGGAATTAGTAGTGAAGTTATAACAAGTGCCGGTAACTTGTCTTTTAACCTCGAAAATCCCGGAGATCCGATCCGTGGGAAGCGCCAAAGACCCTTCGTAATTATCCGAACGACAAACAGTTCGGCCTAGTCTCGCGTAATAATTAATAAAAAGGAACTAGTTTTGTGTTAGGTGATTAGAGAAGAGTTAGGTGAGATTTGAATAATCGCGCCAGGTCGTGAGAGTCGCGATTAATTGTTGTTAGATTCGCACCTTCGAGGGGCGTGTCCGCACCAATCAAAATTCGGGTGATTGAGCGGTGAATTCCGCGCTCTGAGGTGTCTCGAGACGCTCGTGAGTTCGGCAGTTCGGCGTTGGCCCTTGACCCCACCAGAACTAGTGCCAGTACAGTGCCTGTCTTAGGAATTAGAGTGCCTATATTTGGATAAGTGTATCTAAACGATGGCGAAGAACACCCCAAAGAGGGGTAAGAAACCCAAAGTGAGTTTTTATTTCGGTTTATGCATTTTTCCGAATTCATTTCGGCTTTTCGTTATTCGACCACGGGGTCTTCAGCCCCGTACGTCGCATTTTATTCCGGTAAAACGGTGATTGTGACCCTTAATCCA